TCTGGGCCTGCTGCGGCCGCCCCGTGCCCGGCGCTGGGGCGTTGTCGCAGCGGAGCACCGGTGGTTGCACCCCGCTTTGGAAAAAAACACTTCTGTAAAGGAAACAGCTTTCCGCTCCGGGCTCCTGCCTGGCTGCAGCCCAGCAGGGCGTTTGGGGCAGAAAAATGTGGAAAAAAAAATAAGAAGCAGTTAAAATTAGAAAAGCTGGCCTGAAAAAAAGGTCTTTATATTCCAGTGGAAGGAAAAAAAATTGCGAAAAAAAACATTTTTGTTCAGGAATGAGAACCCTCTTTGCAGGTTTGCTGGCGAGGACAAGGGGCTCGCGAGCAGCTCTGCAGGCGTCCCCCAGTTTGCCCCAGTCCCCCAGCGCAGCCTGGGCAGCCCCCCCAGGTATGCTGTGGACCCACCACCCGCTCCCACGCCCCTGCTGGCGGCTCCTCTGCCTTTCTGGGTTTCATTCTGTAGGTGGAAGTGTTGCAAAGCGGACACGGGCATCCTGCACTGCACACGCTCACGCACGCATGGACTCACGCGTGGACGCACGCGCTGGCTCTGCGGGAGCTGGGCAGGTGCTGCTGAGCACCCCAAAATGCACCAGAAGAGAAGGAGGGGTTGGGGGAGATGAGCCCTGCGGGCGATGCGGGCAGAGCAGCCCCATCCATCGGGGCCAAACGCCCCGAAACGAGCTTTGAGGGAGGGCATCAGCCCCCGGACGTGTGAGGCAACCCCGGTACCGGCCGAGTTAAAATCCGCGTAGAGGCATCCGCACGCAGCCCTGCAGCGGCTCGGGCCGACCGCCTGGAATGACCCCTAAACCCGTGGGGAGTCAATAAATTAAAAAAAAAAAAGGGGTTTACGCGCTGCAGCCCAAGCTCCTCAGGCTGCTGTGTGTGAGAAAACCTCCCCAGGAAGGTGGACTTCATTTTGCTGGTGGGCATCCCTCAGATAAATATGTATTTAAAGTGGCTGGAAGCTGGAGGCGATGGATTTAGTTTACTTGGAGCGACGCTGGTTGAGAAGCCGTCGCAGATTTGCAGGAGGTGAGAGACAGAAAAGGTCTCCGAGGCGTCCCCGCAGCTGACGGCCCTGCTCAGCTGTGCTCCCAGCATTACAAGGTTTGTTCTCTCCAAAGAGGCGATACGCACCTCTCGCTGCCCCGCGCGTTCCCCTCACGACAGCTCTGCTCAGCTAATTGAGCTAATTGAGACCCAGGACCGTCGCCCGGTGCCCGGCACTTGCGCCCGGCTCCCCAGGCCGTGCAGGGTCTGTGCTGCTGAGCGCAGAAGGATGGTGTCAGAAACACCGGCAGATAACTTACCCGCTTCCCAAATAATATAAATATCCACCCCAAAGGGCGTCTCAGAGCTGCCGGTGACAGCCGGGCCGTGGGCACCCAAGGGCACCCGAGGAGCATCACCGCTCACCTCCCGGCAGCACCAGCAGCTCTCACCAGCCGATAAACCCCAACAGGACTGCGCCATCCCCAGCTTTTAGGGCAGAATTTCATCTGGCGATGGAAAAGAAAGCCTGCTCGGAGCCGAATCGCTTTCCCCGCTTGCAGGGTTTCCCCACCGGTGAATGAAAAGCCTGGGAAGCCAGGTAAAGACACTGGATTTTAGAAGAATACGGGTCTCGGTGCTGCTTTCCTGCCAGAACTCCCCGCTGTGCCCTGACCACACCGGCGCTGCCCGGCACGCGTCTTCGGACTCCCGGGAAAAGCCATTTTCAGCTGCCCTCCGGAGAGCGGGGGGTCGGTGCCGGAGGGGGCTTCCCGGCCACAGCCGACCTGGCAGCCGCTGGCCTGTCTCCAGGGACATCGCCCACCCGAAGCCACCGCAACAGCC